TGGGGCGTGCCTGAGAACTTCTCTCCAAAAAAGGAACACAAAAGAGCCTTTGCAGAGGTTAGGTACACAGGCTTTCTCTGTGCTGAGAGGAACAAAACAAGGGGCATTTTCTTACGTACGATGAAGTACGTGTTGGCATCAGTTCAGATGTCACTATGTGGTGATGCAGCTCTTGAAGTCAGTGCAGCTTCTCAGTGCTTGGGGATTGAGGTGGCAGTAGGAGACACACAGGTGATGTAGAAATGATAAACACGGAAACTGACGCTCAGGGTTTACAAAATAATTGCATAATTATCTTCTATTTATTTTGGACATGTTAGCAGTCAGTTTTTCTCAAGCTGTGTGTGTATAACAGCTTACACTGAGCTCTTTTACTTTTTCCAGGACTCTTAACTCCAGTATTCCTGACAAATTAATCTATGCAGTGCTTTTAAACTTTACCAAAGGCTGGCAAGGGGCATATTTTTCCCCCTGAGTTTAGCTGTATTAAAACTGTCTAAAAATTCTTTCCAGATTAAATAATCACTGTTTGAGTTTGGTACATCCAAATAATACATATAATTTAAAACTGACTCTTCAGCTTTCTTTTAGTCGCGTTCCTCTATTTGTAGGTGTGGTAACGCCTCACTTGCAGGGACAAATTCTAACAACCATTCCCCTAGGGTGGTAAGAAAAGTCAAACTACTAGTTGCAGTAAGTCAACACAGCACGTAGCAACAGAGGCAACTGCAACTGTCCTGTCATCAGATTAGCACGTCTGTGTTGTGATTGATTTCATTGACTTTCAGTTACAAGCAGCATGTAAATGTCCTAAGATGTTTTGCAACTGTTGTCTCCAAGAGAACAGCATCTTGTTGGGCTTCTCTTTAGAGCTTTCTTTACCAGTAGTTTGCTAATGCAATACTGGCAATGCAAGGAAAATACTCTTCCAGAGAAATACTCAGCAGTTCCTTGCAGCGTCATCAATGCTTTCAGTGTCACTTAAATAAACATACAGTGTTTCGGGTTAATTTTGTTTTGGTTTTACTCATGTTTGGTTTAACCCCTTTCTAATGGCTCAGTGCTCCAGACACTTTTTACACAGCTTTTTCGTAAGAGCAAAGAAAAAAGTGTGAGAAAACAAAACTTGTGACATGAAAGAAGCACACAAAAGAGACATGAGTTGGTTATAACGTAGGATATCAAAGACAGCCAAAATAAAGGCTGGTGTAGCAGATGAACAAACTTGAAACTTTGAAAGATTGTGTTAAAACCACAGAGGATGCTAACAGAGAGAGAGATCATAGATGAGATAAGCAAAGCTGATGAAAAGGCTATAAATATCACTCACAATGTGATGTGATCAATATGGTGGGAAAATGACCCAGTGTGACCATGCATCAAAGACCAGTTGCCTTCTGCTGATTAGGGAGCTGATTAGAGGACAGGTAAGAATTCATGATTTGTGGGGACAAGATGAGCACAGTCATTACAGTACTCTGCTGGAAATGTGGAAGTTGTGAATGTTGGGCTGACTCCAAGGCCTCTTTCTTCTTGTGCAAGAAATAGTCACTGCAGAAATTGCAGAAGCAGTCTTTGGGCTTCAAGTGGTGGCCTGATGAATGCCAGTTCTGACCACCAGCCTCTGTGACATACTTCCCCCTGCCCTCCCCCCCCCAAAGAAAGCATTGTATTAGAAGTTATAGTGCAAACTCTAGGGCAAAACTTACGTTGACATCAAAAGAGCAGAATTTCGGTTAAAATACTCCTGCACAGTAGAAAGTGCTATTGCTCAACTTAATCTCTTCCCTAGGGATCAAAGCATTCACCTAGGAGACAGAAGCTCAAGGCAAGTTTTTGTTCAAATCACTAGGTGTTCTCCTCTGGGCATGTTTTCCAAAGGAGGAATGAGCTCTGCCAGGTGATTTGAAGGAGTCATGGCAGAGGTGGTGGTTTCTCCATCAGCTGAAGTGGGCGGTGAGTAGATGCAGGTGCTTCCTGGCAACTCAGAGCAAGGCAAAGTCTGTGATGAGTAGGATCCCTAGGGATGCCCTTCTCCCTGGTATTGCCTGTCAGTTAGTTCCAGGCGGCTCTCCTTTCATGTATGAGATTTGTAAGTTGAAGCAGTTTTCTGAAGCACCCAACTTGGTAAAGGAAACTTTGGCATCTAGTTTTGTGGTTTGGCTTCTTTCTACTTTGCAGGTCTGGTACCTCAAGCAAAGGTGTCATGGCATCTGTCTTATGCATACACATGCTCTTGGCTGAAGAAATGCTATGAAAAACTGTGATGTGGGGAACAAGAAAAGATGCAAGATGAGGTCCAGGGACAGTAGTGGGCCTTCATCATGATAGTCCACAAAAAGCTTGATTTTGAATATGGCTGCTTGCAGTAGCCTTGACTCCGCCTTTATTCACTTTGAGAGAAGGGGTTTTTTTCAGTGATGGGGTGAGCCTGAGCAGTTCCATATCCAGTGAAGTCATCTCAACTTAATGGCTATGACAACAACATCTAGGGAAAAAAGAATTTGGATGACATACGTCCTTAGACTTCAGTGTAGGAGATGTGGGGGTATTCATACTTAATACAAAATAAATGCAAATTGCAAATAACCTGAAATGCCTTTATATGCATAGGTAAGCATTGTATTTATAAACCCAAGAGCATTCTGGACATTAAGCCAATAATATATCTAATGGTCTAATTTTAATTTCTTTAAAAACTTCATACAAGATAACTTGGTTGGTCTATAGAAGAAATGGTTCAGACTGAACTGAGCTTCTCAAGTGCACTGAACTCAAATTGAGAAGAATTTCTTCATCTGTTAAAAAATGAACAAATAGAACTACTTATTGTAGAAAAAGTCAACAAGTAAAGGTCTCAGCAATATTATTTGGAAAATAAATTTCTTGAAATGAGAAATGCAAAAGTTGTTTCTTCATAAATGATGTCATGCCAGAATAGACCTTCCACAACCCAAACATTATGTTGTTTGGGAGATTCTGAATGCTCTCAGCACTGCAAGTTTATCTGAGTTTACAGCAAATAATCTGTCCTTACATATGTAATGGGGATACTTTCATTAAAGCATCCTGCTGCATATTAGGAAGCTGTTAGATTATTAGTTTATCTGGCACCAAGCCACTTGCCAAACTTCTAAGTGTGAAAGTGTGGTTGTTGAGTCACAGCTTTGGAAGCTGCAGTAGCAGTTCAGAAAAATCTATCCTTTAGCTGGTGGAAACCCTGGAGAGCTGCAAAGACGTATAATATATATATATATATGCTTTTGAACTTCAAAATAGAAAAGAGAGAGCCCATCAACAGATCTTTTGTATGTGCATGTTATCCTCTTCCTCTCTTCAGCACTTAGGTAACTATAAAGCAGCTAAAATCAACACAGCAAATGTCAGGTTTGAAAGGGCATGTCTGCAAAGAAGGCATTTGGGGCTGAGGATGTGGTTCGGAGCACTGACTGCACCAACGGCTTGTCCAGGAATATGTCGGCTCAAGTAAAAGCACGGGTTTGGGTCTTCAGGTGAGCAACAGATTTGGAACGAGAGAGCATTTTAACTTGAGATAACATTCACAATTTTGTGCTTGCCTGCTGATACCAATCAAGATTTATTGAAGGGAGGGGGAACGCGAGGAAAGAAAACAGGTTGGAAATGTGGCTAATGGGGCTCTAGCCATTGCCTTACCCCCAGCTGGGATGTGTGTGTGCATCAGCCTGATGGCAACCACAGACTTCCTTTCTGCTGCAGCAGCACGGGTAGGTGTGACCCTGATAAGGTTTTCTCTCTCCCTTTATTCATGCTAGTCTCTTCAGATCCTGGTTGTTAATTAGAAACCCATTCTTGCCTTGCCTTGCCAACTATGCTTGTAAAATAAATGAAGCATATCTTGTAACCAACGGTTAAGGGCAGTTATGTCCTTGAAGTTTCTTCTGGATAGTGTTAATTAAGCAAAACCAATAAAATAGGCATAATCGACAAGCACAAGAAGAAAACTAATTTTACAGAGCGCTAAAAGCTTCAGGGAAGATTGCAGTTTTCCCTGTATATTTATGCTTTCTTTATTGTGTCAGTAACTGTTGCAGAAATGTTGAGGTGGAGGTTGAGAACTGGTACAATTTATTTTGCAGTATTCTAAAATCCAATAGTCTCTCCATGATGAACCCCTATCTACTTTAAAATGCTCATCTTTGTATTATTATTCTAATAACTTTATGGAGTGGCATTTTTTATAACTAGTACCTGTGAACAGGCAGGGGTTCTCTGGGCCGTCTGCAAAATTCGTACTGCATTTCATAAAGTATTATAGCTTTTAATAAGAAAGTGCAGAGGGAAGAATGTTCATCCAAGAGAGAATATGGGGAAGAAAAGGTTATCCTTGGTAAGTGCTGAATTGTTGAATAGATTAGTGTAGACTTTAGTGTGGTTTCGTACTGTACCCAAATAAATACACAAGTGATTTGAAATCTAACTTAATATAACCATTTAAACAAATAGTTTTGTTTTTTTTCTCTTCTATGTCTAGGTTAAACATTTGGCATAGAGATGACAGTACAAAAAAGGAATGTGGTTTGTTTTTTTTTCTCTCCTATGTCTAGGTTAAACATTTGGCATAGAGATGACAGTACAAAAAAGGAATGTGTATCTATTTCTTTTTCTGCTAACTGACTTTATGATCCCACTGACATCCACCGAAATGCCCCATTTTCACTTAAGTAACTAAGTAATTGGCTGATGTAAACAGTACATCCAGAGGAACGTAACTCCCGTGGGATTGCTGTAGATTTATAGCAGTAGATTTTTACTCACCTTGTGTCCTCTGTGTTTGAAGAAATCTATCCAGTGGTGAATAAAACCCCACCTTCCCCTCAGTCCCCTACCTGTGGGTGACTGACCCTTGAAAAATGTCAAGTGGAGGCCGTCTTGACTTTGTACAAAATGTTGAGTCATTTCCTCAACTGAGAAGTTAATTTTTCTTCAGCGTTCCTTTCCTTTTTTTCCCCTGCTGACGTACTCAGCACACAAGAACCGTTTTTTATTTGTATAGCTTCAAATTGTTCCAGCCTCTCTGATTTTTAAAAGCAGGGAGGCTTTTCCAGTGTTGATTTGCTTCTCTGGTGTGCAGTTGTGTGAGGGCAGGTTATTTTGGAGGAGACGGTGGAAGCCAGAGCTGCTGGTGCCTTCCTGGATCTCCTTCTCTGTGATTGCCCCCAGCTCAAGCAGTGGCTTTCTTCTGAAGCTCTTCAAGAAAGACCGTGCTGTGGGGCTGAAGGCATCGCTGAACCATGAGCTTGAAGGTACTTAGTATTTTGGGGGTGGGGGGCAGAATTGGGCAGATTGACAAGGAACCATACTAGATGACCCTCTTCCCTGCAAATTTGCTGGTAGCTAATACAAAATCAAACGGTGTGGTTATTTCCAGGTAGCTCTCTTGTCCTCTGTGGAACTCTCTGTGTGTAGATGCTGAAATATTAACTCTATTGTAGAGATTTGCTGAAAATGCAGTGGGAAAGTGTTATTTATCTCCTAAGAGTGTGAAAGCAGTTTTTATGCCGTAGTTACGTGTTACCCTTCGGATAGCAGTAATGCCATGGAACAGACACAACTTGCTTCCTGACATGGTGTCCAGGCAGCAGTTGCCACCTTTGGGGTGAGTGTAGCAGCACTGCTGGTGCAGAGATTTCCCCTTCCTTAACGGGAGAGTGGAGAATTCATTTTATGACATGGTTGTTAAGGACCTATTTTTGTCCCAGAAATGCCCTGAATGGAGAGGCTGAAGTCCAGAAGTCTACCTACAGGGCTCCTGTATGTGAATTTGTAGTCTGTTTATTTATTTTAAATGTATTCAAGTTTCATTTCCCCCTTGGCAACAGTTCAGCTTCCCTTGGCATTTTGCTGTAGTCAGCTGAAAGCCAGACATTGAGCTCATGTTCTTGTGTCTGTGTTCTGGGTGTCTCTGGTATTCATCAACCCCTTTTTCCTGTCCTGTAAGTAGGCATCTTTCTTATGCTCTCATTTGCTATATTCTACCATTTGTGTTCCGTACCTCTTTTAGGCTGTTTTTAAATTGTTTCAACAAGGTTTCATAAGCATTTAGCATTCCTAATGAACTTTAGTTAAAGAGCTGTGTTTGTCTCCATACTGCTTTGAACAACCGAAGCAAACAGAAAAGTTCCCTGTTATTTAAATGTTTGTACCCTTGCCAGTGTTCTCCTGCTCCCTGGGCTTTATGCACCTCAGGAGCCATCTTTGTCTTTCTTGGCTCTCTGCTGAAACGCTGGAGTAAGAATCTTGATTGGTAGAATAAATGGGGTTAGATTTTAAAAAAAAAATAGTTTGTACGTTCAAATGCTGTTCTTTGGCTGGTTAGATTTAAAAAAAAAAAAATATAGTTTGTACGTTCAAATGCTGTTCTTTGGCTGTGAGTGTGGTTGCTTAAGGGAGTTCCCTGCTGAGAAGTACAGCAATGGGGTCAGTTCCTCTGTGGGTGCATCTCTTCCTCCTTCAGAGGGGAAGAGGGATTCATCAGGTGAAACCGGGGGAAGCCGCCGTTCATGCGGTCCTTCAAACAGGGTTTGTCATGTTCAGCACTGTAGAGACATCCCTGGCCCAGACAGGTTTCTGGAGGAGTCAGATGGAGCACTGGCCTCCATCAGCTCTGAACTGGGCACAAATAGCCGCTTGTGCTTCACAAGCCTTCATGCAGTCCTCACAAATTTAAGGGACTCTTTACAGTTTAGGGTGGACTGCTAAAATTTCTAAGGCAGGAAGAGATCTTGGTCTTTCTTCCCCCACCACAAGAATAAATGAGCAGGGCTTTTGTGGAGGGGCGTCTGCAGAGATACGTTTTCTATGTTTAGTTCTCTCCTAAACCTCTGTTTCATTGAATGAGCCTGTAGTGGTTTGGTTGATGTTATAAGGAACAGAATGTGACCCATAGTTTCAAAATGAGTGTGGCATACAGATCTGTTTGGTGAAAGATCATGTCTTCTTGTCTGCAATCAAGAAAATTCAAAATTATTTCTGCATTTTTTGAGGAAAAACACAAGATACAAGCAAACCAAAACTTTAAACTTCTCATTTTAAAGTGGGCCATAAAAATGTAGCAAAGCAGACCAGAGAAAAACGTTTCCTGTGGTGCCTGTAGTCTTTTGTAGCTCTTCAAGAACAAGAGGTCGTCTGCAAAAAAACAAACAAACAAAAAAATCCCCTGAAATCACACCATCTGCAGTTCTCCACCCAAATTCGTGCAAGTCTCATGGTGTAGGCTCTACTCATCTCCAGCACTGAGTGGAGTTTAGAAAAAGGGAATCCACCCTCTGTCTCTAAGGCTATGTGCTTGTCAGGAAAGCACAGCAAGCATCCTTGGTTTTGACCCTTTGAAGATTTAGGTGTTAATGCAGAAGCAAATGCCAGTGTATAAAACCAGGAGTAAATAGTCTGAGTACTACAACATCAGCATAATCCCCCAAAGTTCTGCGCTTGTCAGTATCATTTCCAGGTTGGTTTTTTTGTTTGTTTGTTTGTTTGTTTTGGAAAGTTCAACTCCATACTTCCACAAACAAAACTGTTACAGAGTTTCCATTAAGCAATGCAGTTAGGTCTGTGTGTTTCTAAGATGCATCCTTGTAGCATACGTCCTCCAAAACAGTCTCAGCATTGGTTTCAGTCTGTCTGGAAACGAAAATATCAGGTTGAAAAAAGATTTTTCTCCTTCCCTTTCTGTGCTTAAAAAGACAAAATGGAGAAAAAAAATCCACTTCTGAGGAATTTGCTTGGAGGAGAAAAAAAAGAGGAGAGATTAATTTACACTGCCGGGTGTCAGACAGTAATATGATCATGCTGGCAAAGCTAAAAAAGGAAATGTTCACAGCTCCCAGACATTTTAGAAGAGGTCATTAGCTTAGCAGATGGGGAAAAATTGTTTCTGAGCATTCAGCAGTTCCTGAACTGAGACAAGATGTTATGCAGGTATGTATACACGCTGGCTAAATGCCATGGAGGCCAAAAAATCCTAAGAGGAGCTTGGAAGGGTGGCATTTCCAATTAAACATAAAATCTACAAAATGACAGCGCTGAGCAGTAATCTATAACCGACTGGAAATGGGTTCTTCTGGGTGCCTCGCTCCTTGGCATCAGAGTGCCTTCAGCAAGTGAGTGAAATGGCAGATGGGATTAACTCCCTCTCTTGGGGTTGTGTTGCTCATTCTTCTGCCTTTCCGTGGGGAGGTCCACGCGTGGTGCTGCCCGGGGAAGAGCCTGTGTGGGTGTCGCGGACGGAGTGATTAACTTCACTAGTTAGAGTGAAGCAGAGAAATATTTATTAAGGTGAAACAGTGATTTAACAAAAGCAGTAGTGTGATAAAACCAGTGGTAAATGCGATAGTGTTTACAAGATTCGATGTCAGGGTACACTCTATTATTTACTGCACAGAGGACAGGGTCAGACAGAACTGTCAGGGAGACCCTCCCGTTGAGTCACGAGGTTCAGAAAGGACCCCTTTGCTTTCTAAACTCCTTCTCAGAGAGGAGTCTGGGTGCGGCTGGATCCAATCCTAGTCCCAGACTTGGTCAACGGTTTATGTCTAAAGGATTATATATGCGCAATCAATCCTTTACATTACTTAGATAAAACTTCAAAGTTTAGCATGCTATTAGTCACTTACCGAAACTCTGTTGCGGCAAGGATTCCCTCAACCTCGAGGAGTAGAACCGGAAATTTGTTGCGGCAAGGGATCCCTCAACCTCGAGGAGTAGAACCTTAAGTGAGCATCCTCACCAAAGGGGAGATCCTGGCGTGCAGCCCGCTGCCGTACAGGAGAGCTCAAAGGGCTCTTGGGCTGTCCACTATTTATACAGTAAGATAATTGACCTATAGTTATATTTTCATGGCAACAAAATTTCTAGGTCCCCACTCCAGACAGTATTTTGACTCTGCTGCCAGCCATCCCCCAGAGACCGGGTGCAAGTTGTCACAGCTGCTGTTGTGATGGCCGTGGTGGCCAAGGCCGGGCAGGAGCCGAGAGGGAGAGGGGGGGGCAAACCAGGGAGAGCACACCGCCACAGTGGGGACAGGGCAGGCTCTTGCTGTGGTCCTCCTGTGGGGCAGGGTGGGAGAGGCTGGATGAGGAGGGGGGCACTAGCACTTTCTGCATGGAGTGAAGAGTGTCCTGGGAAGGGTGTATGTTGGTGGGGGGTGAATTTGCTGCTGTAGAAGAGCAGGGAAAGAGGAGGGATGGTGTTTTCTGCCGTGGGTGGGTGGGAAGAGGATAGGCAGAGCTGGGGCTGCACCTTTCAGGGTGAGGGAGGGGGGAGTTGAGGTGGAGGATGCCCCATCTCCTACGTGGCCTGTGTGGCTGCCTGAGGTTTGACCATCTTGGTCATCTTGGCCATCTTGGCCATCTTGGCCATCTTGGCCATCTTGGCAGTCACTCAAGCTGACTGTCCTGCCACCCTGTGCCATCCCCTGACTACAGGCAAGCAACTTTTTGGCAGCGCTCAACAGGCTCTCTCTTGCCTAGACCTAGTAAAAAAGTTTTGTTAAAATTGATGTGATTCAGGACTGGCGTGCAGTGGAAGTGCAGATTCCTTTGCAGTGGAAAACAGTTTTCAATAGGAAAATCCTATCCAGTTCTGCTCCAAAGGAAAGCAAAGTAAAAACATTTGCCCAGGCAGATCCTGTGTGTTGCTTTGCTACTCCTTGTGGGAGGATGGCTCTGGTCCGACATGTTACACTTAAACCCACCTCTCACTCAGAATATAGCAGACTAAATGTTAAATTAAAAATGATAAAGATGAGGAAAAAGAAAGTTGATTGTTAACCTTCTGAAACAAAAAGATTTGCATGTGGACCTCCCAACCAATGTTGTTTGTATGACAAATAGGAACAAGACTTGATGGCTTTCTTATCTTTTGGTTTCCCTCCCTCCACTTTTCCTTAAGCATCAATGGCCCACGTAGATTAACAAAGTTAAACAAAAGTTCTCTGCCTGGTGGCATTCCAGCTAAAATAGGTTAAGGGTCCATTGGAGTCATTTACAAAAAGCACACTGTAACTTTCTACTCTGTCATCTCTGGTTGTTTTCATAGCCTCATCCTTTGGGATATAAATGCACTTTTTTTTGGGTCCTTATTTGAAGCACTTTACCCAGGTGTTTTGATAGCAGGGCATGTTTACTGAAGGATCATTTACCAAAATGGAAAAGACTCTTTTAAAGCTATCTGCCTTAATGAGAGATAATTTTAATTGAATTAATTTAAAATAGGTTAATTCAACTGTGTGGAAATCATCTGACTG